TTGACTTACTCTTTTCACATTAGGACTGGGTTCCAGTCACAATGAGAAGTCCTCATCGAGATTCGAACCTGCGGCCTTAGAGGTGAAAGGCAAGTGCGCTAACCACTTCGCCACCGAAGCCCCTGTGAAGTGCGCTAACCACTTCGCCACCGAAGCCCTTCGCCACCGAAGCCCTTCGCCACCGAAGCCCCTCTTCTGTGTGGCCATCATTGTTGAAAAAATTGGAAAATGCAACATCTCTGTCGTATATGTAATGTGCAATTGTTCTGCGGCAGTAGTCACTGTTCTGTTGGCACAACAAAGTGCTGAACTTGGATCTTGCAGCTGGCATTTCGCGAATCATTGATAGAATTTTGGATTGTTGTTTCATCCATCTCTGGCACGGATGCAGAAAAAAGAATCTCAATGTGATTTTGTAAAAACGTGTAAGTGAGAAAGGCTGCTTACTTTCCTTTCCTATGAGATTCCTTGAGTTGAGCATATGGAACAGTTTGTCAACAATGCGGGCGAAGGTGGCCGTGGCTTCGCTGTCTTGAAATTTTGCATCCTTTTCGACTATCTCCGAGATCTACTTTCATATGTTGGCGAGCTTCATTCCATGGTTTTGTTGAATTTCATTTACACCAAACTTCCAATGACTTCCTTCATTCTTGCCAAGGTATTTCTTGCTAGCTTCAGCATACGGCACGGATCCATCAGAAGAAAAACATCCTAATCAAATGTTGGATGTTTAACTACTTGGTTATGATGGATGTGTATGTCAGTCCAAATATGCACCCAAAGGTTGATTGACACATTGGATAAAGTGCCATTAGAGATAATCCACTGCCGTCTTCATTAATGATTTGCGAAGAAGTTCGCAACATGCTATTGGACATTCCCAATGGCTGCGTAAACCAACCAGAACAAATACTATACGAAGGCTTCCGATGCTAGGACATCTGGTAATTCTGTCAGCGTGTAACCATATGGGCAAAACCAACAGACGAGAGTGAGGTTGTGAAATTTCGAGTTTATTTCAAAATCATCATCAGACTAACTAAAGTTACAACATATACAAGTATTTTATGGAAGCTGGTATGGCATGACGTAATTACTAAGGAATTTACGGGCAGTATAACCGCAACAACAAAGGTGTGGGGTGAAACGTGTGATGGCATGTAAATGTATTAAAGAAGGATTATAAAAAGAGCACCAGTTCCTTGCTAGGTTCGAGACCAGTATTTAAACTGGTTTTTTTCTTCTTCATATTTAAATTTCGCGCGTTTACCTGACCACGTGCGGGACTAACGCCCAAGAATGCATTCATGATCTGCTTTACTTTTTGAGATGGAATCAAACTTCCATTTTTATATATATATATATATATATATATATATATATATATATATATATATATATATATATATATATATATATATATATATATATATATATATATATATATATATATATATATATATATATAGTTGAGTGGGTTGAAGTGCCAGGAAGGGTGGACTCCTCTCGTTTACTAAATGAAAATATTTTCATAAGGATTTCAATCAGGTCGTATTATCTCGCCTAAGAAATAACATACCCGTAGGAATTCACACCAAAGGTCTAGAAATTTAAATTTTCCTCTTAGGACAATATTCCAATAAGCTATAGCCATTTCAAGTTCTAAAAGATGATACCAAAAAAGTTTGTTTGAAAAAGCAATATAATTGCAGTGACAGTTCAATGCTGTTCAACATATAGTGATTCTATAGACTATAGGCAGCCTAGACCTAGGCCTAAACTCGGCTGGTGATTATCGCAATGGTCAGTTGCCTCGTAAAGGCCTAGTAGATTTCACAAGTTCTCAAATTAGCTCCATAATTTTGTGATCCGAAATTGATCAGAAACCAACAACTAAAGCAATTTATACTGTCCAGTAGTTATTACATTAACTATAAAAACATTTTATGACTAAACTAAGTTCTATTTTGTAGTAATAATTTGACTCATTTTGACCTTTCGCAACATAATAATAGTGTAGCTTCACACTTTATGATAAAAAAAACCCCGATTTTCTAGGCGTGTATACAAATAAAAATAGTACGTTTATACTATAAATGAGTTTATTTTACCTGTATCGGTTTAAATTTGCTGTTAAGTTGCAAATAATTCTGTTTGAGAACGCAATAATTGGGCATTTCGCAACCAGGGCAGTTTCAGGGCAGTTTTGGCCTTGTTGTTGGGAAATCCACTAGGCCTTCTATTTTTTCGCTTGCGTCATCCTCCGCCCCGCCCCAAATCACCTAGTCCCAGTCTTTTCGTGTGAAAAAGCGCTGAATATTAAAAAATAATAAAAATAGAAGGCCTAGGTCTAGGCTGGACTATAGGTAAATGGATTGTTAGAACTAAATGTTGGAGGGTTTTTGTAGAAGTTATTAAGCGAGATGCCCAAAATTCTGATATTTACTAATGCACCTTACACACGGGCATCAGTTCCATGGTTTTATAACCACTTTAAAGGGCAATCTCGTTCCCCGAGCCTGCGATCCTTGGGAAGGAACGCGAGGCTCTGGGATAATCCGTTTCAGGGAGGAATCTGATTGGCCATTGAAATGGAATGCGTAGTTCAATCTTAGCCACAATTCCTGGCTTCCGGCAACGGATTATCCCAGAGCCTCGCGTTCCTTCCCGAGGATCGCAGGCTCGGGGAACGAGATTGTTTAAAGGGCATATATGACTCGAAAATCGACGTTGTTATTTTTTAGTCTAATTTGAAAGATCATTGAAAACTGTAGAGTAACTTCTTCGATAGATTTTTGTTTTCTTGCTTCGTTTTGAAGATATTTCATTTTGTATGATATGCAAAGGACCAACTTCCTACGTCACATATGCATGATGATTTAACCCTAAAAACTGTATATCTTTAATACCAGCAAAGACAATCAGAAGAAAACCTACATGGGTGTCGTTGTTGACAAATCTCGTGCTCATCATTCATTTTGAGCGAATATATTTGATAGTGACAAAATTATGTAACATTTTAAAGTAAGTCATTATGCATGTGTGACGTAGAAAGTTGGTGCTTTGCATATCATACAAAATGAAATATCTCCAAAACGAAGCAAGAAAACAAAAATCTGTCAAAGAAGTTACTCTACAGTTTTCAATGATCTTTCATATTAGATAAAAAAATAACAACGTCAATTTTCAAGTCATATGCCCTTTAAAAAGTGCTGCACCAGAATCGCAGGGCCGCTGGTTCGATTCCTGCCAAAGGGCCTATATATCTTTCACATTAGATAAAAAATAACAACGTTTAGTTTAATTTAGTTTAAAAATGTAAAATTTACACTCGAGATTTCCTTCCACACAAATCCTCCAACAGTTAGTTTTATATAAAGTTCTTAAATGCTGGTTTCCAGTGTAGATAGCAATGATCAAACCACCTGAACAAATATAACAACAACTTGCGAAGGCCTTCGTCAGCAAGTTAGTAAAAAGGTTACGGTGCGGGAACGAGATGACGACGGCTAGTAATACAATGAGAAAAGAAATAAATATCCCATGGGAGTTTGAGACGTCATCCACGGTCTGTTTACAACGGGAAGCTACAAACGTCTTGGATAAAACGCC